GCATGGGTTTGATCAATCATTATAACATCATTTGGTATCTAAAATATCAAATAGAAACTTTATCTTTTATTCTAATAAAGAATAAGTCAATTTTGTATATTCCTTACAAGATAAGAAAAACTTGAAATATTTATTAGATCGTTATAATTATTAAATTTAGTAGATAAAATTTTATAAATTGATAAACTTTGCGAATAAGATAAAAATACTCGTAAGAAAGACGAAAGTCCATTTCAAAATAAAAGGACATTAGTTCGTCGCAAAATTGTATAAAATAATTATTTTAGTTATATTTTTATTTCAATACTGCTCTTAAAAGACAATGATCACGATGTTCTTCAGATTACCTAAAGATTGTTAACACTACTATAATGATAGGTTTAATCTATTTTCTAAAAATGTTCTTTGACATCATTATTCTGATTAAGTGAATTTTTGTGACATGTTAAACACAGATTCGTTTATGGTTCTGTCTAATGTCTTACTGATAAATTATTGAAAGAAGAAACAATTTAATTAAAACTAAGTAAAGGTAAAAGAAAGAGATCTATTATTTGAATATTCTCTACATATGAATTATACGATAATTAAATAAAACAATCTGTCAGTATCAAATACTTACCAAGAAAATATCATACAACTGTTGTATATCTCTATTTCTATGTATTATTTTTAGATCGATACTTGCTCGGATATATAATTCTCGTTAAATATGGGTGAAATAGAAAATATAACTGACTTTTCTTAGAAAAACAGCGAGTGTCTGGGCAATGAAGAGATAAAAAACGAATCAGAGAAGAAATCGAGAAACTTCGTTGCTACTATTTACATAATGAACATTAAGAGGAATGAAAAAATCATTTTTGTTTTTCTTCACAGACAATATCGATCGGAAAGAAGTAGATCAGGAGAAAGAGTGTACATGTCTAGCAGCTGGAGAGAATAGAAAAGAAGACGAAGAGAGAGAGAGAGAAAGAGATAATGTACGTAATAAACTTTATATTCTTAACTTACATCGTTTGTCATTCTTCCAAATTTTTCCTTTAAATACCATCTAAAACATAAGCCAATTCCAATATGTAATATAATTAAAATTGGATAGAAAATCCATTTTGACATTATCGAATAAATATATAAATCATTTCTAATAAACATCAAAATTTTCGAATTCTGTGAATATTTTATTAGATAAAATGATATCATTTGTAAAGCATCATCGATATTTTTTGTTGATATACAAGTTAAACATAATGACCAAAGAAAACCTGATATAATATTAATCATTAAAATCTTTTTTAATAAAGATAATGATTGAACTAAATAAATATCATAAAGAAAATAGATATTTAATATAATAAAATATATATAGATTAATGTTTGACAATTTATTGTTAAACATGATAGAAATATATTTAATGAACGAAATGAATATAATTCATGATAATTATATGAATTATTTATATCATTATAAATATATGTATTTGTTGTTGAATTATGAAATGAAAATTTAATTTGAAAATTTTTATTTTCATGAAAATTTAAATGAAAATTTATATTTGAACCATAACGATATAATAATGTAAAATAATAGATTGGTAAATTTAATGTATATGAATTGAGATTTATTTGAATTTCTAATATGGATTGTTTTTCTTTCGATAATTCATACCATTCAAAATTTTTATTTACATGATTTTCTAATGTTTTACTTAACCATTTTAATATATATTGATAATCATGATTTATAAAAGATATTTCATAGGAATATATATGAGATAAACGTCGATTTATTGATGGAATAAATAAAAAGAATCGTTCATTATGTAATGTTTGACAGATTTTCGAATAATCATTATTTGAACAATTTAATATTCCTGTTTGAATATTAAATATTGACAGACGACGTTCAATTCGTTGCCAATCATTCGAAGAAACTTTTATTAATGATTCACGATATTGTTCATTAGGTATAAGATGAACAAACCTATTGTTGTTGGTTTTTTTAAATAGAAATAATATAGAAGATAGTTAAGAATTATTTTCTTACCAAATAGTATCTTTACAATCATCAACAAAATTAAGTAATTGTTTATAAGATGAGAATACCATTGTTTGACGTTTAGTATGATCTTCTATGGGTTCATATAATTCATTTTCTCGAACAGAACCTAGAAAATAAATACGAGATCCTACGAAATGAAATTTATTTTTTAATAAGTTTATATTAGATTAATCTTAGAAGTTAAAAGAATAAAGCAGAAGACAGGTTTTATGTGCTATCTTGTAAACGATTTACACTGTGCATTATATGAACTTCTAAAAAACCGTATGAAAACCATAATGATAGGAATTTTACTGATGAACGGTATAGATCGCTAATTACTTTACTGATTAATAATATTTCGAGTACTTCTACGAAGTTTTGAATAGAGAAGATTCGAAGGCACGAATTAATCTTTATTCCTGTAATTCTTAGTTTATTAAAAAGAAACTAAATCTTTTTTTTAATATCATCACTATTGTAGAATCTAACAACATTTTACTAGCTGAAAAAAGCACTCCCATGTCATTAAAATCGCTTGAAAATCGACGAAATAATCGTTTGTTTACCGCCATATGATCGTCGATTTTTTCAAAACTCGCGATTCACCGCCCAAACCGAGGCGTATTTGTAGACATGGGCTATCCTCTCAAATATTATCGTTAGTCAATTAATGACAA